GATGGCTGAATAATATTCCATTGTACATATGTACCACATCTTCTTTATCCATTCATCTACTGATGGACATTTAGGTTGCTTCCATTTCTTGGCTATTGTAAATAGTGCTGCGATAAACATAGGGGTGCATCTGTCTTTTTCAAACTGGGCTGCTGCATTCTTAGGGTAAATTCCTAGAAGTGGAATTCCTGAGTCAAATGGTATTTCTATTTTGAGCTTTTTGAGGTTATTAGCATTTTTTAATGGTATCATTGATATCCAAACATATGAAGGTTTTTTAATGGTATCTAATAACATTTTAATGGTATCATTGATATCCAAACATATGAAGGTTTCACATGAGCAGCACTGTGATTACTACATTCACCCATATTAATGAGTCTCCCCCATACACCCCATTACAGTCACTGTCCATCAGCATAGCAAGATGCCACAGAGTCACTAGTCTTGTCTGTGCTACATGGTCTTCCTGATGAACACCCCCCACACACGTGTGCCAATCATAATGCCCCTCAATCCCCTTCTCCTTTCCTCCCTACCATAAAGGTGGCTCCTTTATCCCCCCCCTTTAGTGACCGCTAGTCCATTCTTGGGTTCTATGAGTCTGTTGCTGTTTTGTTCCTTCAGTTTCGCTTTGTTGTTATACTCCACAAATGAGGGAAATAATTTGGTACTTGTCTTTCCCTACCTGTTCCATTGTGTATATGTACCACATCTACTTTATCCATTCATCTACTAATGGACACTTAGGTTGATTCCATATCCATATCTTGGCTATTGTAAATAGTGCTGTGATGAAGACAGGGGTACATATGTCTTTTTGAATCTGGGATCTTGTTTTCTTTGGGTAAATTCCTAGGAGTGGAATTCCTGGGTGAAACAGTTTTTCTATTTTTAGTTTTTTTTTTTTTGAGAGGGCATCTCTCATATTTATTGATCAAATGGTTGTTAACAACAATAAAATTCTGTATAGGGGACTCAATGCACAATCATTAATCAACCCCAAGCCTAGTTCTCAACAGTCTCCAATCTTCTGAAGCATAACAAACAGGTTCTTACATGGTGAACGAATTCTTACATAGTGAATAAGTTCTTACATGGTGAACAGTGCAAGGGCAGTCATATCACAGAAACTTCGGTTTTGATCACGCATTATGACCTATAAACAATCAGGTCAAATATGAATATTCGTTTGATTTTTGTACTTGATTTATATGTTGATCCCACATTTCTCCTATTATTATTATTATTTTTATTTTTAATAAAATGCTGAAGTGGTAGGTAGATGCAAGATAAAGGTAGAAAACATAGTTTAGTGCTGTAAGAGGGCAAATGTAGATGATCAGATGATCAGGTGTGTGCCTATGGACTAAGTATTAATCCAGGCTAGACAAGGGCAGCAAGACATCCACGGATGCAGAAGATTTCTCTCAAAGCAGGGGGGGTGAGGTTCTGAGCCTCACCTCTGTTGATCCCCAAATTCTCACCTGATGGCCCCCCTGCGACTGTGCCTGTCTTAGGTTGTTCCTCCCTTGAGGAATCTTACCCGTCTCTGGCTAACCAGTCATCTTCCGGGGCCATACAGGGAAATGTAAAGTTGGTAAGTGAGAGAGAAGCCATATTGTTTGCAAAGGTTAGCTTTTTACTTCTTTGCAGATTTATGCCCTGTGGCTTCTATGCCCAGCACTTGTCTCGAGGTATCTTTACCACCTGGAGGAATTATGATACTCGGTAAATTCGATATGAGGCACGAATTCTATTTAAGGGTTGTAATTAGGAAGGAAGAAGAAAAGCTATAGATGTAGCATATGAAGGAAACTTGGGAGGATTGATTATTTCTTTGACATATCTTCTTGTATAGTACCTTAAGTATGTATAGGTTTTAAACTACTAACTAATTTGCACACACATATTAACATAATAGGAATACGGTGACATAAACAAAGCAAATCTATAATTACCAGCCATCTCCAGTGAAGCCAAGAAAACCATTTAGGCACCCTAGGCATTTGTGAAAATTTATCTATGATATGATGGATATTTTCCAACTGTACTTGAACCATCAGACAAATTAAAGCAGCCCATTTCTGGGATCTGTTCACATCCCATATGTTCTTTTAACCATAGATAGTCTATAGTCATGAGATTTTGGGGTGCTACAACTTGCACCCCTCCCAACTCCTGGTTGAGTTCCAACAGTACAGATCCAGTCAAATTCGTTGTCTCACTGTATGCACATGCCAGCCTAGACATCTCCCTCCTCCTTCTTATGGCAAGTCCAGGAGACGGTGGGCTGGATGCAGCCACAACCGCAGCATCGTCCGGATCCCTGTGGAGGCTTTTTGATGATCATCCCCCGGCACGAGTCCTCCAGAGAGTGCTGATGCCGGAAGCTCCTCCTCATATCGTATCTTAGTTCATTTTCTGGGTATCCAAGCTAGGCCTTGATCTTCTGCGTAGAAACAAACAGACCCTTTGCCCACACTTTGACATGCCCTCTATACCACTGTGCAGAACTCATTGGAGGTCAGCACACAGTAACTGCTTTTTTTTTTTTTTTTTAATTAAGAGAAAGGAATATTATCAGAAAAGAGTACCTCCATAGCTGATCATCTGACACCCTTTAAGTGATCAACATTAAGGATATTTAAAGCATGCGTTGATCTTTGATTTACCAATAGTTTTATCCTGTTAAGGAGTAATCCCCCTTTTCTTTCTTTCTTTCTTTTTTTTTTTTAAATTTTTAATCTACACTTACCTGAAGAATACTATGTTTACTATGCTCTCCCCTATATCAGGTCCCCCCTAACAACCACATTACGGTTACTGTCCATCAGCTTAGCAAAATGTTGTAGAGTCACTACTTGTCCTCTCTGTGTTGTGCAGCCCACCCTCCCCTTTCTCCCTCCCCCCCATGCATGCTAATCTTAATACCCCCCTTCTTCTTCCCCCCCCTTATCCCTCCCTGCCCACCCATCCTCCCCAGTTCCTTTCCCTTTGGTACCTGTTAGTCCATTTTTGGGTTCTGTAATTCTGCTGCTGTTTTGTTCCTTCAGTTTTTCCTTTGTTCCTATACTCCTCAGATGAGTGAAATCATTTGGTATTTCTCTTTCTCCGCTTGGCTTATTTCACTGAGCATAATACTCTCCAGCTCCATCCATGTTGCTGCAAATGGTTGGATTTTTCCACTTCTTATGGCTGAGTAGTATTCCATTGTGTATATGTACCACATCTTCTTTATCCATTCATCTACCGATGGACATTTAGGTTGCTTCCAATTCTTGGCTATTGTAAATAGTGCTGCGATAAACATAGGAGTGCATCTGTCTTTCTCAAACTTGATTGCTGCGTTCTTAGGGTAAATTCCTAGGAGTGGAATTCCTGGGTCAAATGGTAGGTCTGTTTTGAGCATTTTGATGCACCTCCATACTGCTTTCCACAATGGTTGAACTAATTTACATTCCCACCAGCAGTGTAGGAGGGTTCCCCTTTCTCCACAGCCTCGCCAACATTTGTTGTTGTTTGTCTTTTGGATGGCAGCTATCCTTACTGGTGTGAGGTGATACCTCATTGTAGTTTTAATTTGCATTTCTCTGATAATTAGCGATGTGGAGCATCTTTTCATGTGTCTCTTGGCCATCTGTATTTCTTTTTTGGAGAACTGTCTGTTCAGTTCCTCTGCCCATTTTTTAATTGGGTTATTTGTTTTTTGTTTGTTGAGGCGTGTGAGCTCTTTATATATTCTGGACGTCAAGCCTTTATCAGATCTGTCATTTTCAAATATATTCTCCCATACTGTAGGGTTCCTTTTTGTTCTATTGATGGTGTCTTTCGCTGTACAGAAGCTTTTCAGCTTAATGTAGTCCCACTTGCTCATTTTTGCTGTTGTTTTCCTTGCCCGGGGAGATATGTTCAAGAAGAGATCACTCATGTTTATGTCTAAGAGGTTTTTGCCTATGTTTTTTTCCAAGAGTTTAATGGTTTCGTGACTTACATTCAGGTCTTTGATCCATTTTGAGTTTACCTTTGTATATGGGGTTAGACAAAGGTCCAGTTTCATTCTCCTACATGTAGCTGTCCAGTTTTGCCAGCACCATCTGTTGAAGAGACTGTCATTTTGCCATTGTATGTCCATGGCTCCTTTATCAAATATTAATTGACCATATATGTTTCTTTAAGGGTTTTTTATGTACAATATCATATCATCTGCAAAGAGTGATAGGTTAACTTATTCCTTATCAATCTAGATGCCTTTTATTTCTTTGTGCTGTCTGATTGCCATGGCTAGGATTTCCAGTACTACGTTGAATGAAAATGGAGAGAGTGGGCATCCTTAGCTTGTGTCCCACTGGATCACAGATTTACTACTTTATCGTTTTCCATGAGGTCTTCTATTTTCCCCAGCTCTAGGCAGTCTGTTGCAGTCTTCTTTCTAGTCACTCTTTTAGCATTAGTTGTATTTGCTGAATTTTTGTATTACATGTAGTTTTGGGAGGAGGTTTCTGTCTCACTTCTCACACTGCCATCTTTAAGCCTCTCCCCACTTCAATGCCTTTTTAAAAATTAAGGCATAATTTGCAAACAAAATTGTAAGGTATTTAAATTGCGCAATGTGATGATTTGATATATGTATACAATGTTTACAGACTGCAGAGAGTGAACATTTTTGACATGGATCTTTAGAATCAACCAAAGTAGAAGAAAGCAATTCTGGATGAGTGCCCATAAATGTGCCAACTAACCTGTGGCTATTTGTATTTCTTTTATAATAAGAAATCCATTTTGAGTTGAGAAAGCATATTTCTCTGCTAGGGGCTCTAATCAACTAATTTTTTCTAATGAAATCTGAACTCTAACTAAAAAGGGGAAACACGTTTTTCTTGTTTTTATAATAAACTATGTCAGAGTGTCTTAATAGCAATCTCATCAAATACCCTCAAATGCTTACTCTTATTTCCAAAAAATGGGCAAATCCAATGCTTCTTAAACATTCTTCTTACCTTTTTGATGATAACTGGGTAGTTAACTGAACCGCTTCAAAAGCACACATCACAAGAACAAAGGGGATTAAAATCTGTTTAAAAGAACAACAAATGATGCATGGGCAGCTAAAGCATTTGAAAAACTTTTAGAAATAAATACTACTTCTGCTTATAGAAATATTTCAATTTCCTGAGTAAATTTTATCTATATTAAGTGAAGAGCAAATGCTAAAATAAAATGACATCAATGACATATAGAACAGTGAAGAATCTATTTTCAAAATCTGCATTAACAAGCTACAACAATAGCATCTTTTAAGTATTTCTTAAAATTTTGTTTATATTAGTGCAGTAACACAAAAAGATTACTACTACAATTAAGAGACTTATGTGATGTGAACAAAAGGCAATCAGATTTTAGGCACATTATTAATTAGTTTATTTAAACAAATATATACTAATTACATAAAATGCACCAGGTGCGTGGTAGAAGGAATAAGCAAAATGACCCTAGAGAAGAAGGGAAAGAATATGAATTACATTCCATTGGAGGTCTGAACACCCGGAAAGCTGAAGAATTTATCATTATCTTGGTACCTCAGCATCCAGCTAGTACCTTGCATGTTACTGAATGTAAGTACTGAGTGACATATTTGCTGAATCAATGAATCAATCCTAAGTACAAAGATTGTAAGAAAAGATTGCAATGTGTATGCAGACTCATGGGTGGAGAGAATAGGTGCAGGGGGCCTTAGAATCTTGGGGAGCACTGCAGTTTTGATCGGCACAGCACTTCCCCATAGGCTTTCATCACCTTTGATAGGACTTCCCAGGACTAACAGAATCTCTATTCTTTAGAAGTTAAATGGGCTTAAGAGTAAAGAAAAAAGATTAACTATATTTTGGAGTAAAGCCTTAGATGGTCCCATCTCCTGTTTGGCAGTGTCTGAGACGTATCTTTTTTCCACACTATTTAACTCTGTCACAACTTTATAATCCTAATGTCATGTTACAAATCTAAATGTCCCAATGGGTCCATAATCTTAATTAATTGATATCTTAATAAAGTAAGAAAACTAACCTTCCACATCATCAGGGCTCCCATGATATAAGGACTAAACACAGTCAGAAAGCAATAGACAGAGGCCAGATCAAAGCTAAGGAACCAACATAAAGAAAAAGGATTTTAGAATTCACATTGTAATTTTAAAAGGATGCTCTGCTAAAAAGGATGTTTAATTTTCTGAAATTGACTGTTACTAATAGACAAACATACACTGGATCAAGGAATATTCTGAAGCCACTAAAACGAACGAGGTAGGTCTATGTTAACACAAACCAATCTCCAAAAAACATCTTTTAGCATAAAAAGCAAGGTACAGAACAAAATTCCAATTTGTATTATTTTGTGGTTATATATATGCTGTTTTCATTTAAAATTACCTGTTTAAAGAAGCTATATTCCCAGTTCCAAAAAATGCTGTCACTAAGAAAAAAACCTAAGTAGAAGTTAAGGAATAGCCAAACAAGTCAGAATTTGTACAAATTTTTCTCATTTAGAAAAGATATGCCTATTCTACCATGTAATTTGCTTTTTCACTGGTACATTTGATTATAAGTTGTTGCAAATGAACATTCCATCATATCTCCTTGTGTATGTATTCTGAAAGAACTAGACTGAAGCAGCCATGTAGTAAGAACAGTGCTCCCTGGGAGGTCATCTCAATGTCACTAGTATCTTTGGGAAGGTTATGAATATCCTCTGCTCTAACATAAGCAAGTTGGATTGCTGAATTTGCAGCTGGCCTTGTATTTGTACTGTAGTTGGCTGCTAATGATTTTTTCAAAAGGATAATGGGGACCTAATGTGATAGACATTTGCAGCTGAAATACTGTTTCAGTTCACATGTACTTGCTGTGTGCCCACTACATGTGAAACATGCCAGGTTCTTCGGAAGGCCCAGAAATAAGATATCATGTTTTACAATATTCACTAGAGTATGAGACAGGAGAAAACATTAAACATCTTTTGACATCTCTTAAACTTCATTTGTACTGGTGCGGTAATAAAGAGTACATATTAAATCCTATTGGTGTCTAAGAATCTACTGCTAAAGTACTTAAAATAGTAACTGGCCCCCTGAAAGGGCTTAATAAATGCTACTATTTTATTATTATAGATACATACACAGAAGTGGCATAGAAACAATGATGAGAAAGCATGAAATCTGAAAACTTTCAGTGAAAAAGTGGTTTTTGAATGGTGATCTGAGTCTTAAATGTTTCATGGATCCATTCACTCAACCAGTCAACTAACCTACCAACATTTACTGTCTTGTATGTGTCCAAGGCAGAGTTCGGCACTAAGAATACAAATATCAATAAAACAATCTCAAAGTGCTCAATGGTGACTAAAATTATGATGATATGCAGGAATATATAAGAGGCATTTTAAGGTAAAAGGGGAAAATAAATGACATACTCAAGAAACAGTAAATACATGATAGAAACTTAGGGTTTACTGAAGGATACAGTGAAAGATGATGCTAGAAATAAAGATTGGTGGCATATTAATAAAAAGCCTTGAACTTTACTGTGGAGATAATGAACAGCTAGCAAACATTTCAGGCAAGTGATATAAACAAGAAATAACAGGGACAGTGAGATAGTCAGATCAGGGCGACAAATAATTAAAGGCAGGAGATCCAACTAGAAAGCTATTTCAGTAGTCCATGGTAGGACAAGGTTAAGTCACGGGGAGACAGTGGGACTTTAGAACTGGAAAAAGAGCATCTACATAAGACAAGTTTGATGCCTGGGTGGCTGAAGTATGCCATTATCATTAAATGAGATGAGTCTTGTCTTTGGAGAGGGGTGGGCAGTTGTTAGTCAGCTTGGACACGTATTTGGTGGTACCCAGAAGGATGTGGGATGCACAGCTCTTGGTGTCAGGAGGGAAGTCAAAGCTGGAAAAGTAGACCCTGGAGTTGTTTGCAGAGGTGTTGGTCAAAGCTATAGAAGAGGATGTCATCCAGGCACGGTAAGAGAAAATCAATGATAGAGCTCAGAGAAAAACATGGTTGAGGATAAAAGGAAGAGCAGTTTTAGTGAAGGAGAACAGAAATGATATAAAAGCTAAGATGATAACCTGGATCATGTCCTGGAAGTGAAGTGTCAAGAAAGAGAAATTAATAGGGTTGAATGTGTACAGAGTAGTCAAGCAATACTGAAGACATTAGACTGTGCAGTGAGGAAGCCCCTGCAGACCACTGAGAGGACAGCTTCAGCAGAGATATTTGACAAATATTTGTAGAGCTACTATGTGCCGTCCTATGTGCCAGGCACCATTCTAGGCTTGAGGATATAGTTATAAGGGGGGAAGAAATGGTAGCAGTGACTACAGATTTTTCTTTCTGGGAGCTTGGTGGTATATAGAAAGGATAAGATGCAATTATAATTTAGGGGGATGCAGGGTTCAAGGAAAGAAGTGTTTTATTAGTACAAGCTGAAGGGAAGGAGCCTGCAGAGAGAAAGAGAAACCAAAATGGGAGCAAAAGCAAGAGATGGAGGAGAAAGTGAGAACATTTATTTTCTGGACCTATAAGGTCCAGATCCTGCACCATGAAAGTTCAAAGGAAATATCTTCTTATGAATTTCTTGAAGCCAGTTAGCTGACCTTCCCAAAGTGAGACTTTATTCTGTTATATTGTCCTTCAAACTTCTTATACTAACAACTTTCTCACAACACTGCTTCTGATGTGATCCAAAAACCCGTGAGATAGATGCTATATACCACAGTATAGTATAAAATACATATAAGAAGATACAAACCAAACCCATAAGAGCAGTTTCTTCAGCATGAGGGAAATTAGATTGGAATTGGAAGTTCAAAGATGACTTTGGCTTTAGTTGTAATGTTTTAAATTCTTTTGAATGTGTGACATCTGTGACAAAACAGTAATTATTGATCTGGATGGTAGGAATATACACATGTGCATTTGTCTGTTATTTTTTATGCTTTTCTGTAGTACAAAAATTTTTTTAGATGTGAACTTTATGAGAAAATTCTGGTTGAGAGGGTGGTTAAATGACCTCCAAAGTAATACACTATTCAGTGATAGGCCAGCACACCATCCACATCTTACTCCACTAAATGGGGGGTTGTGGTGCCTTAAAACAAAAGTCCAAACAAAGGATACAAGGAAAAAGGCCCTACGGATGTCATCCAGATCGAGCTGTCGAAACTGGGTTATATCAGTATGACAAGCGAACTGGATACTGGTAACCTGTGTGATAATAATAAACATTACAAACACACAATAATAATTTTCTTACTTCTACCCTCAAAAGCAAACTTACAATTAAGTTACAACAGCTAGAAAAATGGCCTGTACTGACAAAAAAATATCAACTATAAATCTTTTCCTATAGCTTAATTGCACCCTAATAAAATATGTCAAAAGGTAAATAAAAAACATGTTGTTAATAATATCCTGAACAGAACTGCAGTACTGCTGTTATGTGTGATAAAAGTGAGAAGTGGGTTTTTTCTTATCCTATATAAGCTTTTAAATCCCTTCTCTAAGGCCTGATTTCTCAGAACCCTGATCTTCTCAAACACAAGTACGGCATGATATTAAAGAGCATAATACAATGAAACACCTCTTGGTTTCTTTGTTCTTCTGCTAATTCTATTTGCAGAGAAATTATTTTCTTTTAATAAAAAAGCAAAATATTCCTATCTCTGGTAAAAGAGAAAGTCACTGTTACTTAATCTTCCCTCCCCAGAAAGGAAAAACCCATGGGTAAGTTTAAAGAAAGACTTTCTCCATCTCCACTCCCTAAGTAATTCCCCAAAGAGTTCTTAGAATGCTCTAATACTTTTTTCTGGAAATAGATCGATCCGCTTTCAGTTAAAAAATACAATTAAAATTGACACAGAGACCTTCATTTTAAAATTGAGTATTTATTTCATATTAAAATATTTGATGTTTACTATTAAGGACAGTTTGACCATTTACTCAAATCTGATCAAAACTGCTTTTCATGTATTATTTTAATATTCTAGGATTTTTAAGTTAAAAACCAGCAATTATTCAATATACTTCAATAAAGTTTTTTTCTTTATTAAGTGACTTATCCTAACTATCAATTACTTTCTGTAAACTCCACTGGAACCAATTATAGATGAATCAATGGATCAACTATGGAAGTGTTTTTCTGCAATACTAATTTTATCTGACTTCAGTAGAACTGTAAATATTCTATTATCAATTTCTTATAAATGCCCTCAGTTCTAAAATCAAGGTAAGAGACATCAATTCAACTCTCTAGCTAAACATTATAAAGGTGTCCTTACAATTTGGTTGGCTTTTAGCCAATAAGTATACTGTGTTAAATAAACAGCCTAAGATTTGGACTGGGGCTACAATCACTAAGGTGACAGAGCAAACATTTTGGATTAGGATGACTAGAGAAACAATACTGGGAACACAAATGTCACCGTATGATCAAATTCATAAACTGACTTGTGACCATGTAAATAGTCTTCCAACTAAAATAAACTTAAGAAAAAGAAAAGTCAGATGTGAAAACAGAGGAAAATAAAATAAAGAACATTCTTTCCCCTCCATTCCTTCATCTATATTGACGTTTGTTGCATCAGTGATTCTCAAATAATCTCTAAGAAAAGCCCAATTTATATAATGCCTATAAAACAAAATCATGCTCTTCTGTTATAACTGAAACTTTTCCTAATTGCTTATATTAATGCCTTAAATAGTGTAAAATTTTAGGCAGAAAAGCATTTTGATGAAATAACATTGCAATGTCCTCACTGGATACAGAATATTTTAATATTCTCAAACACAAAAAGCTACCTTCTGTTTACAGGAAACACCAGATTGTAGTAGGGTTTCTTGTTCCATGTGTATCCAGACAAACATCAAACATGACAATGCTAATGGAAACAGAGCTTCATACCTAAGGGTTGGGGCATGGTGGGGGTGGAAGGTAAAAAAGAAAACAACAAATAAAATGCAAATTTATACTGAGCAGTCTTTCTTAAAATTAAAACAATCCTCGTAATATTTCTAAATCACAATATCACAAAATTCAAAATTTCTAGGCTTTCTATAAGAAGTAGGAAATAAAAATTACATTTAAATATCAACTCCAACACCATCTTTTTTGAAATTTATAAATCTTGAGATCATTAAATGCTTAACATGGTAGAGATATTTAAAAATCATAAGGTAAATGACAGATATAGAGAAAAAGCAACATTAAGACAAAGATAAGAAGACAATTCCCGAGTTAAAATTATTAACATACACAGAAGAGCAAGACAAACATCCCAAATTTTTTAAAAAGTGGGTACAAGAACATCCCTCTCAAAAAGAAAAAAAAAAGAGCCAATAAATACATGTACATGTTTGACCTTATTAATAACTGATATGTAAATTAAAATAGGGAGATGCCATATAGACTTATCATATTTACCCACATTAAGAAAAATAACATTGATAAGATAATAAAGAAAAGGAATTCATTTAAAATAAAGTTCTTATTTTATAGCAGCTTATGACTCTATTACAGACCTGGGCTACACTAATGGTTCTACCTGTATGTCTGTCTAGTACTCAGGACACTGGTGACATGAAAGAAAAACTGATTTGATCAACTGAATCAAGAAGGTGTATACTCTGAGCAAAAGAGCACCATGATTTCTAAAATATTTTCACCTATATGTGAAATTATTCTTTCCTAATATACAAAAAAATAAATTCCATAGTTCTATAAATAGTGCTACTATCTTAATTCCTTTCAAAAACTATAAACTATGATCATTTTCTTTCATAAAATATTCATGAATAAATCTGATAAAGACAATCTTCCTATGGGACTTTATTTCTTTAGATAATCAAATATCTTGTATAAAGTCTGCATATCTGAATTAATAAACTGAAATACCAATAAAAAGTCATCACAGGCCCACAATGTACATAACAAAACCTTACTAAATTAGGATCTGCCAGTTTGATCATTGTGTAAATAAAACAGGGCTGAAAAGTCTTTAGGTATGTATTATAGCTTGCTAAACAAAGGGATAATATAAGCAAAATTTCAGAGGGAGATGTTTAATCAACTTAAGAGAACTATTTTCAAGTATTACAACAGCTAGCATAAAATAATCAAATGCTGATTATAAATGAATATTCTTTATTCATTAAATCAAGAATGCATTGTTAGAAGAATATAGGATTACTACTACTGCATTTCTCTAAAGTAATATAACTGAATTTGTTTAAATATCCTGCAATTCTGCCTATTCACTAATTTACATAAAGAAACCTCCAGGTCATGCAAAATAGTGGTGGGAAACAAAAACAGGTGGACTAAATTTTGCAGAACTGATTTGCCACTGAAAAATGCACTAATTGAAATTATTAGACTGCTATTCCTGGTTATCCCTGCTCAATTTTTAGATGTTGAACAGTATATTTCTTATTATATTCATTAATAAGAGCATACTCATCATTAATAATCTGATTTTAGGCATGAATTTTCACTTTTTAGATTTTCTTAAAATTAAATATGCTTATGATAATCTTTTTTGGTATCTTTCATGACTATGAAATAGGTGATTTAAAACACTATAGTATTTATCATCAATGTAAGTTACATGATTAACTCACTTTATATTATGAATTATTTTTTCATCCAAAATCCAACTTCAATTATCCTTTCTTCCTTCTTACATTTCTCATAAAAAATCAGATCTATTTCTAGGTCTGTTATATTTTTAATCTACTATACATTCTTTTAAGTCTGTTTATTGCTTTATTTAAATATTTTTTTATTGATGTATAGTCAATATACAATATTGTATTGGTTTCTGGTATATAATATAGTGATTCAGCAATTACATATATTATAAAATGCTACAGTAAGTGTAGTTACCATCTTTCACCAAAGTTATTATAATATTATTGACTATATTCCCCATGCTATACTTTTCATCCCTTTTATTTATTTATTTTATAATTTGGAAGTTTGTACCTCTTTGTTTTCTTCACTTATTTGACCTTTCCTCCCCCTTCCACCCCTATGGTATCCATCAGTTTGTATGAGTCTATTTCTATTTTGTTACATGTGTTTCATTTTTTTAGATTCCAGAAATAAATGAAATCAAATAGTATTTGTCTTTCTTTCTTTGATTTACAGCTGTTTATTTATTGCTTTAGAATTTGAAGGTTCAAAAAAGCAAAGGGCTTACTGACTAAGTGATTTATTGATTAACTGTAGAAGCTGGCACATACTTCTGGACACTCTCAAACACTTAGTTCCTTCAGGCAACCTCTGGGTGTGATCTCTTAATGAAACTCATGTGCCCCCCCCCAAAATAGTGGGTTAGAATAGAAATGATTTGTCTTCTGCTTTCTAATCTAGATTAAAAACTTGTACACATTCTATTCATATATATTTTGATGGATTCTAATTATAAATAAATTATTTATCCGATGCAATTTCACCAATACATCAGAGAAGAGTCAAGAGTTCTAAAGTCTCCGCATGTTCTCACTCCTGAGTAAGAATATGCTGACGGACTTCAAGTTTTATTTGAAAGTTGGAAGTTCTAAATTTCGGAGAAAACCCATCTTAAGATCTTATTAGGAACTGGTGAAAATGTCTACATTGCTTATATTACACATCTTTATAGCTATGCCCCAGACCTGGTTATGCAAGGAGAAAGGAAAAGACAGGAGGTGTGGGGGCTTTGGTAAGAGAAGGAGGCTTAGCACTGCACTGGATCATCTTTCTATCTGTGGACTGCAAGAACTCCAAAGCTCTAGGTCACTTAGGATGTTAGGGTCTACCATAAAAAGACTGAGAATATCCCTCTAATTCTGTATTAGGACAACTAAGTGTCCCAAAGAATGAACCCAAGTTCTGGACCCAAAATAGCTTTACAAAATCATCTGAACTGGGAATAATCTGTTGATGACACAATGGTGAATCCCTAGGTTTAATCTGATTGGGATCAAGATCTTGTATTTGGGCCAAATTTTGAGCTAATAGTGGTGGTTATTCAATTTGCCTGTTCTAGTCAGCGTCTGTTACAGTGTGCCCATTTCTCAAACTCATGGATTTAAGTGAAGGAATTCAAAAGCAAGTGAAGAATTCTTTTCTTCAAAATAGATGAGAATATGCCATTGGGTTCACTGAGTCTCACAGAATGCTTCAGGAACCACCACCCCTAATCAAGCTGCTAGTTTTTGGTTTTGTTTTGTAAGAAAATTTCAATCTTAAATAAAAATGGATTCTTTAAGTTTCCAGAAAATACTCTGAAAGTTTCCAAATCAGAAGGACTATTTGGACTATGATATATTTAAAAGTAAAAAGAAAAAGAAAATACTAGATTCCAAAAAAGAATGAATGAAGCAAAGTACAGTCATGCAAGGAATGCAACAAAAACAAACTCTTCCAAGTCATTATTTGAGACAGAAAATTCCTCTGTAACCACTCAAGAGCTTTCTGACACTAGTAAAATGACATTTTAGCAACATCAGGAATTAAACAGAAAGACAACAGGCGATACTATGAAAATGACAAGAAAAAAAAAAGCATCGAAAATTACAGATCTAGACATGGTTCTTATAGTGCAGAAACTATTCATAATGTATTCCCCAAGAGTTGCACAACATTTTTCATTTCCCGAGGTTAAATACTCAGAGAGAGATGTCAATATTTCATTTAAAACATACTAAATATAACAATTTTAAAAAGTTTATACCCGGTGCTTAGAAGAAGGTAGGTTGACATCGAGGAAAGAAGTATGCTGAACAATCGCTCGAGGAGACTTGTAGGACTCAGGAGCGGCATGACGAAGGAAGAGGCTGTAACATCACAAGGCAGGGTAGTGTCAGTATGAGACACACCACATGCGAGTTGAGAAGCTCTGAATACCTTATTATCATTCATAATGCTTACTGTTTGTGTGACCTTTAAAATTAGGCAGTGTTTGCCCTAATCATTTTGTAAGCTTCCTGATAGATTGTTAAGAAAGTGCTAAAAAAACTGGGGGTCGGGGGACATGGGAAAGTGTTGCTTATTTACAAGCTAGCTTGAGGGGACTCTTTGGACAAGTCTGGGACATTTTGAGCACTGAAATATCAACGGTAATGAATTATAAACCTCTGAAAAAACAGGAGCTCATGAGTCCACAACAATAATAAATACATAAGTGAGTGAATGAATGAATGAATGAATGATGAATGGTAAAGAAGGGAGGATTCTTACAATAGGTTACTGAAAACCTTCCGGTAAATGCAGTGAGAATGTTAAAGCTTGAATATCATCACTTTGTAGCTATCATGACAAAGATTGGATCAAGAATGACTTATGAATGGATCCTAAATCTAGGGAGAAATTTTGATGAGAAAGATATTTTATGGTCTTGAGTGTCTCTCAATAGATGCTTATTAGTTGCAAGGAAGGGGGAAAATCAGTAAATATAGAGTGAAAGAACTAGGCAACACCTTGAAAGGGTGATGGAAATCAGTATTATTAATGGAGGACAAATAGATATCATGTACATCCAAAAGTGTCCCTAGAAAGGATACAACATCACTTATGCAGTATTCTGGCCAATAATGCATAATCTCAATTTGATTATAAGGAAATATCAGACAGATACAAAACTCTTAACATTCTGTTTAGAAGGGGCAGGTTGGGGTTGGCTATATTCTTCAAAAATGTCAATGTCATAAAAGACAATGAAAGGCAAAATGCCATAAAGAACATCACTGGTGAATTGAAAAATTAATGCAAAGATGGTAAAATAGATAAAAATACTGAATACAATGCTTAACATTTTTTACATACATATAAACCCAAATAAACACATACACTCATAAACACATAAAGCGGAGGATGGCTTTCTGTAATTCCAGTAAATGTTCTATTTTTTTTTTAACCTTTTTAGAAGTTTAAGTTGTTTAAAAATCAGATACATTGATATGGGCACAAGTCCTGTTTTCTTTGCTTCTCTTCCTCATTGTAGTTTACCTTTAGGTAAGTAAAAAAAACTAGGAGGTGAGCCAGGCTACACAGCAAAGGGTTATACAGTGAGCAAGAGCTGGGCAGCTCCTCAGGTACAACTAACTACCTCCTATTTATTATTTGCCAGGTACTGCTCACCTGCTGGTATGTGTTGTATATGACTATACATCTTTGAACTTAGGCAGTATGAATGAAAGACTGCCCTTTAATATTAGAGTTTCCATTCATAATTTTCGGTTTTCTTGTAGATTTGAAAACTAACATGCCATATGAGAGGCCATCACATAAAGCTGCCTCATTAGAGTGTTAATTAGCACCCTCGTCCCTGCAGAACAGAAGCACCAGGAGGGCAGGGATTTGGTGTGTGCGGTGCCACACGACAGCACAAACTGAGCGCAATTGTGTTAAGTGAAGGAGCAGTCATGGATACTGTTCATGCAGAATGAATGTCGACAGTAACTTGATTAATCAAGACAATTTAAGGGAAGGCCTGCAGAATGCCCATAATGAAGTGAAGCTTCTATCACGAAAATGAAATTATGTACATAGTGACAGCAGTTATTCTCAAGAATAACTTCCACAGACCAAAGTGTGTGGAAAATGGACAAATCAAAACTCTAGGTGATAACATGTCTGCTTCCTGTTACATTTTTAAGTCTTTGCTTGAATTTTTAAGAGCAATCCAAGGATAAACACTCCTATCTCTTAACCCTCTTAAGGCAAAGCTCCATCTAAAGATCTTTTCCTTTTTAATGTTGAACAACAAAATTCATTAAAAAAAATATAGACAAAGGTTAAATTGCATGTCACATTATTCACAGGTATTATGAAGTGTCTTTCTTTAAAGAAAAACTTGGACTTGAAGCTTGCTCTTATCTTCAAGTTGGAAGGTCCGTCAATTATATCTGTTTGCTTCACATGCCTATTTCAGCATCTTTAATTAAGAGTGCTGCAGAGGAGTATGTTTTGAAATGACTAATGTTTAATGTGTTGGCAGGTGACAAATTGATGTTATTTTCAGCAAGGGAAATATGGATAAAATTAAAGTGTTTCCCAGTCCCTGTGTAAGAACTGAGAATTTGTGAATTAACATGAAATTTCTGCATAACGATCTCTGCATGAAATCCCTCTTCTCTTCTGTAATCACTTGGATTTTTATTTTATATATATACACACACACACACACACACACACACACACACACACACACATCTTTATTATCAGGTCATAAATATTCTATCAAGTAATTCTTACTAACACATGAGTGTTCACAGAAGTTCTAATTTTGCTAAATTCCAGCAATAGATAGAATTAATAGCTGCTTATTATTTTCCTGCAACAAAATTATTTCTCTCAATAATAACACAATAGATGTAAATGGATAACTTTAAGATATGACTTGATGTAAAGTTCTCCCATTTGGTTTGTGACCTCTTACCTAATATTATCCAGCTAACGATCTGATTAATAAGGGGCAGTCCTTGTTTCCTGAGAAGACTATTATGGGTGCTATACACAACACTAATGGAAAGCACTGTGCTCAGCATCTGAAAATAAATACAAAACACAGAAATAAAAGCAAAGCTGGTGAGAGACTGATTTATATATATTAGAAAGAATACTAGAAGAGTGCTTCACTAATGAGAATCTGGCCAAAATGCTATTGAAATTGGCCCAGCTCACCTTCCTGTAGCCAAAGCTAAGAGTTAGAACTCTCCAACTAAGCAGCAGTTCTCCTTTACAAGCATGAAATGAGGCATTTTACTCTTTCAAGAGTACTTTGGTATACATCATCACACTGTTTCTACTTAGAAATATTTATTATTACCTTGAAGGTTTCTTAAATCATGGGAATGCAGAAACGTATAAAATTTATATACTAAAATCTATGTAATTTAGTGTCTTCTACCTCTGGCGTTTCCCCCCCAGTTTTATCTATTTAACACATACATGTGGCCTGAATAACTCACCTGGTATTGGGAATTCAAAGAGTACAGTGTTTTTCAGGGAAGATACATAAGCTAGAGTAGAGCTGGTCAACTATAGTTTGTAGGGTGGTGACCCACTTTTAAACATTGCATTTTACTGGAGCACAGTCACTCCTGTTCACCTACACGCTGCTGATTCCTCCCTTTCCATTAAAAGGGTAGAGTTGAAAAATTATAGCACATTGCACATGACCTACAGGCCTAAAATACTTATTATCTGGCTCTTTAGAAAAATGTCTGCTGATCCCTGAACTAGCAGATTAGTTGCCATTTTAAGAAATCAGCAAAGCTCTGGCTATGGACAAAGTAAACTCTCTTAGAGATCAGATTAGTGACCTCATCACTAAGTCCTAGAGATATATTTAATCTACTCTTATATTTTCAGTCAATTAATAAGGAAAAAATGATATGAATAAAGATCTGACTCAACCCTAGGATCCTTTCAACTATAAGACACCTTCTTGTTCCAGAGATGATAAAATGTAAAAAGATATTTACCTTGAAATCAATAAAACATATGATACACAGTAGAGGAATAAATGCAAATCAACAAAGCTAACATAGAAAGGAATTTCATAACAGATTTACCTTATACTCAGGGGTATTTCTAACAAAGGCCACAATATTTGCTCCTAAAGAGTGAGATTAAAAAATATTGACCGGTCAAAATATTCATTATTAAAGGCAAATTCTGCTAAAATTGCCATGGACTATAGCATAAAGCCAGTATACCATGAAAAATAAAAGATGTGTTCCAATGGCTTGATAGGATCTTTGATAAAATATTTCTCTTTTTATGATGTTCTCTGTTGTTTTCCCAGAATGAATTAACATATTCTGAGTGTTGTGTATTTTTATTTTAGAGTGTTCTTGGGAATGCTTTATATTATTTCAGTTTTGTTGTGGGGAAATTTTTAAGAAGATTCATGTAAGTTTTTTTGTCAGTGTTCTAGAAATGTCTTTACATTTTTTTTACTGTTCTAAAAAAAACCAAACAAGTGGTTTCTACTCATATACAAAAACGTACTATTTTATAGATATTACATATTCTCTAATTCTCACAATCCTATTAGATTATTATCTCTACAGATTAAAACAGACTGGTTATATTACTGCAAATCACACATCTAGTATGCAGAATAACTGGGAATTGACTCCATTTTGAAATGTCAAGTTCAAAGGTCTTTCTACCACACTAAAGTTACCAATCAAGATGAAGTTAATTTTCTTCTAGGATGTTGTCTTAAGTCCTTAAACTGGTTGGTTATTCTTCAGATAAACATATGCTTGTCTTCACTTCACTTCAATGCAGCTTGCCCTTTCCCTGACTCACATGAGGATAACATAGAACCTCAGTCTATAGAAAACCCTTTTCAGCTCAATTTTTTGGTCAATACAGATGCCTCTTAGGTCCCTTGACCTCTGTTTACTAGACATCTTTGAGCTGCTTCCTGTTGACCCTTTTGCTGTTTCATACCTTTTAGAGAATATATTTTCCTGTAATACTGTAAACAGAAAACTTTCTTCTCAGCAGGCAGATACTGAGTGATGTAAACTTGATGGCATCTTAAGAACAACGTAACTACATACAACCATAGATATATATTGGTAAATCATTAGTATAACATAGTTACTGAAAATCTGTGACTGACCTGTAACAGATGTAACAACAGCTCTTCATTTACAAAACTGCCTTTTCTTTTTATGAAAGACGTTATAACAAACAACGATAGCAACAGAACCAGCAAGCCCGCACCCATTCTGTTTTAAAACACAATTCACAATTTTAGATTTTCTTAAGATAATTACTAAACAGGTATAATATGAAAATATTAGGCATTTTACTCGAATATAGAGCCTCTCAGTCATTTGGTTTAATCAAGATGAAGTAGCAAAATGGATACACAAGTATAATAGGAATAAAAATCTTAAGATAAAGATATTGTAAGGATGGGGTGACTTGTAACTTCTCCTTACAAATTTTTAAGGGTCTTTACCTTATTTCTATAAGTTGATTTTTAAAACTTTTATGCATATCAATACCATAATTCTTAGCCTGACCTGGACAAATTTACAGAATACAATATAAAAGATAGCTAAACAAACATATCTATCAGTATCTACAAATACTTTTTCTGACTATGCACACTTACTAATATATAAGGGAGCTGTATTTATAATCCACAGTATTCCTAGCAGGACAAACTGCTGCTTTCTCTCACTGGCCTTACTGCTTTCCTCAGCTATTTCTGGCTAAAGGACGGGCAGACAGAGGTCACCAAGGCAGCATGCACTGAGGCATTTTGTATAGTAATGAAAAACAAATTACACTTCTCCAAGAACACCAGGTGCAGTATGGTTCCTGGAACCAAAGGAAACTGATCTAAGGAAATAGTGTCCTAATGCTGAGCTCTAGTTCTCACCTCTGAAAAATCTGAGTAACACAGGATAACTGAAATTATGGTAAGGACAGTCTCTGGAACCTAGCAATATAACAAACCCCTCAACTCAAGAGAACAGGAGGTGGTTTAGGAGAAAAAGAAAGCAGGGCTAAGGAGAATGGGAAGCAGGAATTCCCAGGAACATGCTTGTTGGTTTCGTTTTTGTTTTGATTCTTCTAATAGTTTCCTTCAAAAAGAGAATCACAAGGTGGAAAGGTAGTATAACTACATTCAACATGGATTTCCATTACAATTTATGAAAACCAGCTACATATGATCAAGATTCCTTGCTTATTTTTGCTTCTTTCCTTTAAAAAAAAAGTTTATTCTAATTCATTGGCAAGTATGTTTTTACTTTAGAGAACTGAGTAATAGGGATATTACAGTTATGTTACATACTTAAAAAAAAATTTAGCCTAAATGTTTCACATATCTATCTGTAAATTTCTAGAGGGAGATGATGTGAGAGATCAAATGGAGAGTAGAAATTGCTCCATAAATCGGGAGTCAAAAGAAAGAAGTTGCAAAAATAGCGACTAGGAAAGCAACACAAACTTAAATCATTGAAAGTTAAATTAAGAAGTATAGAGGGAAATACCATGATTTTTAGAAATATAAATTAGATTAACAAGTTTGCTTCCTGAATTCATCTTTAGTAGTATATACAAGAGGCAAATTTCTGTGGAGGCCATTTATACAACCTTTTACATATGATAAATTCTGCTCAGCTATGTCAATACTGCTTGGGCAAGACAGACAGGCAGAGAATCTGAAAGGAGAGACAGAGGCTTTACAGAGACAACAGAGGAGCTCACAAAGTAATATGAGACAAGAAATAAATGAAAACATTTGAATTCATCTTCTCACATACTATTTATAGTTTATGACGGCTATAAAATGTTTTTACTTGTAACACTAATGAATACGGTATGGCTTAGACAGTATGGTCTTAGAAGTCGATACAAGATTTGGGGCTCTGCTAACAAACTTCCTTCCTGGAATAACTCCTGCTCTATTCCATACTGGTATTTCACAGAAATGAGATAAATATGTTAATTTATAAACAATAATACTCCAAAACTAACACATACTTTAAAAATATTGTTTAGTTAATCTTCCTTCAATTATAAAAGATATGCCCCATCTATTAAAGATTAGGTTAAAATGCTAAAAAAATTTCCTTACACAGAGTTCAAAAGAAAGTAACAAAGATATTATATGATTAGGAAATGAGAGGAAACGTTAAATGAAATAATGATCATTTAGCTTGCCAAGCACACACACACAAACACAACACACAGCCAATAGAAGTTGCTAATAACTTAAAAGTTAAAAACAAAGGTAAGCAATTATTCTACAGATATATGTTGGATACAGTGAGGAGAAATCAGTTTAAAGCAGCATGTAGGATTCAGGTAAGGTGTACATAACTTTCTAACAGTTGAAGCGATTAAACATGGGAAAGCTGTCAAGGTACATGAAGTTCCCTCCTTGGAGATAATTATGTTCTGATCAGAATAGGAGAGAATTTCATTTTTCTAAGACATTTTAAAGTATGGACATGCTCAAAGGCAAAGACAGATTACATGAATGGCTTTTAGGCCTTTATTTTGGCAAAAGAACATTTTTTTCCTATGAGACCTTTTACTAATCTCCCAATTTACAAAAGATAGAAGTTCTAGATTTTTTTTCTTTTGCATTTTATATTATCACTGTAGGTACAATTTCATTTTTTGTGAAGGCCCAGAAGCATCTTAATGCGTCTCAGAACCTGGGCCAAAATTATAACTAATGGTTTGATATTAGTATTTTAACTTCCAGTCTGTTCACATGATCTTGAATTCATGATCAAGATTAGGCTCATATTTCTTAGTATTGAGAAAAACAACTGTGTTGAAAAAAAAAAAAGTTAATATTGTTCATACACTAGAGAGATATCTGGCTTTCGTCCTACAACAGGCATCAGAGGGAACACTGCCAGGAGCAAAGAGAAGAAAATCCAACTCAGTGAGGTGATCTAAAATAAAAAAAAGTTATTGTTAGACAAATATGGTAAAAAGAAACTGTCTTCAGTTTACATGAAGACAGATTACATGGCTATGAACCTAAAAGGAAAATGCAAAGCCTTTTATCTATTGACTTTAAAAAGTAATAGTTATTATTTATAAAGGCTCCATTATGTAGTAGGTACTGTATTAGGTATAATATGAGCATTACCCCATTTAATTCTTACAGTAACCTCAAGAGGTGGATTATATTATTCACAATATATCAGATGAAGAAACTGAGCTCAGAGATATTAAAGTATAAATAATACCAGGTCTACAGCTAGTAAATGAAACAGTTTGGATTTAAACCTGGGTCTGACATTTCAAAGCAAGTGCTTCATTCAATTTATGCAACACCATATATTGATTACATCTGTAAGACAGCTGGCCTGAAATCATAACCAAATGATTATACCCAGGAGGGAAATGAGCTAAAATATGTTTATAAATAGATTAAGACAAAAATTTATCAATAATCCCATTAAGTGGAGAATTTTATAAGTTCTCATAGGGTGGAAAGAAGATATTTCTATCTTTCTGCTACCTCTATCAAAAAGTATCAAAGTGGAAACATGAGAGTATTCTTTGTAAAACCACATTGTAATTCCTTACCTTGTTAAAGGAAGAAAAATCAGGAGTAATCATATTTAAAAATAATCTGTTAGAGTACATACTTTTCCAGAAAAAAGCTAAAGGGCTCAGGGCCAGGAGGGAGGTGCCTCCTTCGACCTGAGTTGCATTGGCCTTGTAAGCCACTGTACCACTCTGGGCGGTTCCTTGGCTGTTCCAGTTTAGGTATTTAAGACTATGGAAAGGGCTTCAGAGAAGGACATCCTAGCTACGCTTCTACAGTATTTCACCATACGACAAGTTCATTTGGATATGAAAGTCTATGCGAATCACTGAAACCTTAAAGCCAACCTCAAGTCCTCCTGTCAAAAGGACCAGGCTGTTTAGGTAAGGACACATTCTACCTTTCCTTTCAAAATGAACAATTCCTCGAGTTAAACACATCAAAACAATGTTGTTACTAATCTCTCCAATGTCAAAATGAGTATTAATACCTTTGCTCGAGTCCACAGCTGAGTGAAAAATGGCCAACCTGCAAATGCCGTAAGTCCAGCTGTAAGCATACAGCGGTAGAAAAAACTGAGAACCTGGTAGCACATCCCAAAGAAGAAATGAAAATTAGGTCATTTACAAGGAGTTACATAAATATGAAAGAGATCTGCAAATGTTATAATGTGGTAAATTACTTACTAATACTTCAATTCCCAGAGTAAAGACTAACAGGTAGCCAAAGAAACGACTTGGAGGAAAGGTCAACAGTGCTGCGACAAGGTCTTGAAGAACCTGAAATCTGTTTACAAGATTATTTATAAAAATATTATTTCTACTCCGGAACTTAAAATATTTGGTCACATGTACCAAAACACAAAAACTTTGCACAAAGCTAGAAATCAGGGAATTGTCAATTCACAGATTATTCAAAAACTAAGATAACTTCTAACAGATTTGTTTCAATGGTTTTAACTTACCTAAATCTTTTTTTTTTGAAATTCATAAGTGTTTTAGGAAAAAATGTAGTTTCTGAATTAATTAATGACCACAGTAATTTGCTTAGTTTTTTATAAACATTAATGACAATAAATGAGTCTTGTTTGATCTTAGTTTAAACATAGGTATATACAATTACAGATACAACATCAGAAATAAAATAAACCCAAATAAATAAAAACTGAAAATTTAAAAAAATTTACCAAGGTTAGCCTTATGTTGAAGTCTCAACTATTTTAATGAAATAAAGGCATATTCTTAATATAGGTAGACAAAAAAATCTACCTTTTTCACTGAGCCTCTTCCATACCCAATTTAAGATGTCATCAATTGTACACTAATTTGTAACTAAATGTGAATCCATAACCATCAAAAATGTATTATATACTTGAGTACTTTTTACACCTCATCACTGGGAAAAAAAATTTAGCATCTGTAGTACACTATTAAGTAGTAATCACAAAAGGTCAGTACTCTTTGGTTTATGACCTTTTTCTGATTGAAAATGATGGTTGTATAATGTTACCAAAACTATTGAGGTGCCGTGTAGGAAAGAAAAGCTAACACTAGTCAGAAGAAGAGCATTTTTTTTGTTCTCATAGTGAATACAGTGCAAAGAAATGAGATGATTTCATAAAATCAGTTAGTTTTTTTTTAATAGAAGAAAAGTAAATTTTTATGTTTTATTCTCTATATAATCTATCAAAAAGATAAAGAGAACATAATACACTTTCAAAATCATATTTTCCCTTTAAGTTTAAATATATATGTCATCTTCATAATTAGGACATTTAATAATTCAGGAGGGGTTCTTTAGCAGAATAGAATTTTCTGCAAGGATAAAACTTTTAATTCTAAAAACTTTTAAATCAGAGTAAATGACATTAGAAAAATAATCTGATTTAAATATGTAGAGCCAGCAACCAAATGGTGAAGTTACAGTATATTCTTTTCTCAGGGTCTTCTGCCTAATATTTCAACATCTTAATATTTTAAACATTTTAATAATTTTGATTTTTGATATTTTTAACACTTTAATATTTTTAATAGTTAATGTTTTTAAAGCAAGGAAGAGGTGGTCAAAGCTGGAGTTAATAAAAATTGGAATAAAATTAGAATAAAAATGTACATCTTGGCAAACATATTGGCCAACCCTGAAAATACCCTTACTCTGGGCTCCCAGTCCCTGGTCTGCTTCCAGGGTCTGGTTTGCTTGTAGGAAGCCTGGCTGCCCAAGACTAAGCTTCAATCCCAGATTACTGGCACAGATACAGAAATCGACAAGACGCTTCCTGCCCAGCAAATCAGCCTAAGATAAATGTGAGCGGGCCCAACTTTTAGGGAGCTCTGTTTGTGATGTTTATTACAATGATACCAATTAATTTTAAGGCCAACTTGTGAGGAAGCACTTAAAGGTAGAGCACAGCACAAGAGAATAGTATCATTTATCTCTGTATGTACACATTATTGGGTCTGATTTAATTAGAAAGTTTCATTTCTTTAGGTTTACATGATGGCTAGGAAAGAAGGGGCAAAAACGCATGGAAGAAAACATGAAAATTTCTTTGTGAAACATGAAGATATACTGGAATCTGAGATGATGAGACAAGTTCAAAATGGAAGTTACTCCTAGCATAGTATAATCAACACTAATTACTCTATTTTTACTCCAGGTTTTTCTTATAAAAAATACACAAAGAAAGCAACAAGGTCAATGCTCCCTCAGGGCAATAAAGATGAAGTCAAAAGGAAAGGGTAGAAGAGAAAGGATGCCAATGTACAACATTTATGTGGTTATAACTAAAGTGAGAGGGCTTGGAGATTTGAGAGCATTATAAATACCTTTGACAACTTATGTTACAGAAATCTAATACATTTTAAATAGAGATCTAACTGTCAGTGATGTGAGAAACACGACAAGATGTGCTACTTACTCCCTTAGAACCGCATACCATATCGACACTGGCAACAAACAATATATGTAGTAAGTCCAGGGGCAGGCTTGAATCAGCAGGAAAAATGCTATGGAAACACCAATTGCTGCAAAACTACATGGCAGGAGTTGGCCTGGTTTCTGTAAATCAAACAAAACATCGAAATATTTCCACATTCATGCTAATTGATAGGTTTTAAAAGATTTTATAAAGTGATGATAGATACTTCTTTCTTTCAATGGTTGTATAACTACATGATTAATCTAAGAACTACATTTCAAAACCTGTCACTAGAGAAGCATATTACAGAAGAAAAGGCTAGATAGCCTGGAACTGTGGCAATCAGCAAGTCTTAATTTAAAAGTGACATGTACCTAGTTTGTTTGCAAATAACTTGTTTGGAACTTGCAATATATTTCCCCTTAGTAACAGTTTTATAAATATTGATTGAGTTCTTTCAGTAGCCCACAAACACCCATTTAATCCATAATAAACTGTGGGGCCTAATCTTCGTCTGGAACAATGCTTCCATTTATTCAAACTCCCACTTAACATGCTGTCTATCTGTTCTCTCCACTGCTCAACCACAGCAGGCTCATTCAGTCACCATGTCTTCCCAGCCACCTGGCAAACAAGAACGGAGCTCATCAGTGGAAGTTGCCAGTGGTGGCTTCCATGGGCCGGGAGGCCCGGGTGCTCTGGGCCAGGAATAATGCTGCAATGGTCAGGGATGGAAACTCCAGTGATTGGGAAAAGAACACAATTGTGGAAAGCTGTGACACTAAGAACAGCACAGGAGAAAAAAGCCAGGAGTGGTGAGGTAACATGGTGCTCCCTGACCCCCATGCCTTGCTCTCTCTGTTTTACCCTCGCTTTGCTAGCCAAAGTTAAATAAAGTGAGAATTAAGAATTACCTTCAGGAGTAGGAGAAATTATGGAGGAAAGGCAAGAGTTTCTTTCCCCTTTGTAATTCCTCCCTAGTAGCATAAAATGACACCAGAAATAAAGGGAGAAACAAGGATAAACTAGGGCATAGTTGTAGAAAGGACGGACAAACAAAGCATTGTGGTTAAGAGTTTGGAGCCACACAGATCAGAATTTAAATCCTGGCTCTGTCACTTGCTCAATGTATGACCATCAGCAATGCACAAAACTTTTCTGAGATGTGATTTCATTCTAACTATAAAATGGGAATGATAATCTCATATCTACAGATCAAGGTTGCTAATGCTAAATGAGATTATGTAGAGCTTAACGAAATGTCAGGAATATTGCCACTGCTTAAAAAATAGTAGCTTCTATTACTGCCTTTCTTTCTATTCTCTCCTCCTCTACTTCGCAGCAGTCTCAGCAGTCACTGCAGAAGCCTGTCAGTGAACAGCACTGGAAATGGAGAAGCATGAGACAGCAACACAGGTCCCACAGCGGGATGGGAAAAGAAGGGGGAAATCACAAACAGACTTGAATAGGTGGAATCTCTAAAGCTGAGAGTGGCTGAGGCAGGTATTCATTTTAAGAACTGAAGCTGGTTTCACATCATTTTGTGAATAGCAAAATAACAAGAAAAGCAGTTTAAAAGAGTACTAAAAAAAAAAAAACACTTGAGGGATTTTCTAGAGTCATACAGCATGGTATGATTATCTAATCCTTCAATATATAAAACAACAGACATTACAAATGACATCTACTTGACAACTAAATAATAAAGAACTTGGTTTAACTGAAGGAGAAATTGTAAGGACTGTATATAACAAGACTGGGAACATTTTCTACTTCATCATTAATTGACTCCCACCTCCCCTCCAAGAAAACTACCTGTAGATAATGAACCATGCTGTGTGCAGTGTGATGACTCCTTCATCCAACAGGCACTTATTAGGTCACACACTCTATGCTATGCTCTGTACTAGGAGCTGCCCTTCAAGGAGTTTAAAACGTACAAGTGGAGATGGAATCATGGGACTTTGTTTAGGGGTTAATATTTTGGGATTTTATTAACTAATAAAAGAACAAGGGAAAGCATGTGGTACAAAAGGATATTTAGTTCTAAAGCAAAAGACATCTGAACAGACAAAAGCAGAGAAGAGTATATAGAAGTTAAATACAGCGTACAATTAAGGGAAGCTGTAGCAAATCACATTTTTTTAAAAAGGCGGTATTTACTGAAGACTTGCCTGTAATGATGATAAACCAGAAACAACCTGTATAATCTGGGTGACACTGTCATGTGGAAGTCACATAAACTTTGGAGTCAGACCTAAATTCAATTGCAATGCCACTCTCCTATTTGCTTGTCAATTCGACTAAACCATTTCACTTGTCTAAAGCTCTGTTTCCTCACCTGGCAATGGAGGATAACATTTGTTGCAAGCTCATCTCTCACTCCCCTCTACATTCCAACCACATCAATGACTGGCAGCTTCTCCAAGAAGCCATACTACCTCATCCTCATGTGGCACATGCTGCTCTCTTTCCACATTTTTTTCTTTTTTTCTATTGGGCTAGCCTACTCACCCTTTACAATTTCACCTTGGCAGTAAAGTCTGCAAAGACTCCTTAAACCCCACTGTATGTAGCACTTTCTAATATGTGCACAGCTTTGACCATCTTACTTCCTAACTGCTCTTCTTATAGACTACTGGCATTTTATTCTTCCTACAATTACATGAAGGACATTATGTTTACTAAGGTCCCCCCTTCACCAAGTCCCCCCCACATCCCCATTCACAGTCACTGTCCATCAGCATAGTAAGATGCTGTAAAATCACTACTTGTCTTCTGGGTTGCACAGCCCTCCCCGTGCCCCCCCCACTATACATGCTAATCGTAATGCCCCCTTTCTTTTTTTCCCACCTTATCCCTCCCTTCCCACCCGTTCTCCCCAGTCCCTTTTCCTTTGGTAACTATTAGTCCATTCTTGGGTTCTGTGCTTCTGCTGCTG